GGGCCTAAATTTCAAATACACCAACTACAGCCCAATGGGCCTTTTCTCTTAGCAACAGTTAGCGCTAAGACTTGGCGCCAAATCTGACGTGGCATAAGAGACACGTCATCATAATTCCCGCGCGAAAACCTAACTATATATTCTCTTCATTCATTTCGTTTTCAATTTCTGCCTCTCATTAATGGAGTTCACCGGATCTTCACCGTCCGATCGGAAATCATTGCCGGCTATTCTAATTCCCGGTGAAAAATCTGCCGGAGTTGTAGCAACTCCGGTGATGGATCAATGGAGCACCAAAACACCGGAGAAACCGATCCCAAATCGCATGGCGCGGTCACTACTCTCCTTGAAAGACGTCAGAGAAGCAGCTCAGAAGCTCCGGAAACCCGATCCAATTCAACGCGAGGTTTCTGACCCGTTATTAAGCTACGGTGAAGTGAAATCTCCTTTGGTAGCTGAATCGCCGGTTTCTGAACGGAAGAAACATGTAAACTCGGTAAAGCTGCCGGAAAAGTGAGTGTTTCCTGTACTCTTCGTTATACACTTTGTGCCTCTTTGACGAGATCCTTACTTGAATATTCTTCAATATGTTTATCACAATTTGTTTATTTATTTATTTTGCTTTTGAAATGATTAACTTTAGAGTGAAACTTAATTTGAATAAATTTTATCCTTTGAAGAAATAATAAGATATTTAGATTTAACAATCGAGGCTTGCTCAAGTGGTTGAGCATTGCTATAGGTTGAGTGTGAGCTTAAACTCACACGGGAGGGTAAGTAGGAACACTATTGATCTCATGGCGGATTGGGTAGGAATTTGGAAAAGCAAAAAGTAACAGAAAATTTGGGGACTCAGGGAATTCGGATGTAGAATCAATCTTTTTTTAATTGTAACTTACATATTTGTAAATTAAGTAAAAAGATATATAGTTAAAAAAAAAAACTACTATAAGTAATAATAATTAACAATTTAAAAGTTTATATGAAAAACTTGTTTGACTCTCAAAATCCAAATACAACACATAGATTGAGACGGATGGAGTAGTTGTTCAATATATTAGCTTTTGAAAGTAATAGTCTTATTTGTTTATTAGCTTATAATGATGACAGAGTAAGAGACTTGGTTGAGTTTTTCTTAACGTATGTTTGTATTACTGTATAGGTATGAATTGTTGGAAAAGTACTTCAATAGCATGGATAGTTCAATTCGGCTGCTGCATTTGAAGGGATCTGCAACAACTTTCACTAATATTAGTGCGAAAGTAGAGAGTTTGATCGATAAGTATGAAGATCTAATGATGTTTGAACATTTTCATTCATGGTGTTTGCTGTACTGAGAGGATTGTTAATAATTTCATTCTTTTTGAACATTTTAGGAGATTTACTTGCAGCCATTTAGCTCAGCTGAAGTTTATTTTACCTGAAGCCATTGAGATAAAGAAGATCCTCAAGCACGATGAGCGCAGTTGTTGCATGAAGCCGGATCTTTATATCACTTTAAATGCAAATGCAGTTGATAATAGTGAGAAGTTGAAATCTAACAGTAGCAGTGTTCTATTGAGGAAAGTATTCCGCTCTCGTCTCTTGGATTTCTTCAAGTCACACCCTGAGGTAACCAAATTTTCTGATGTTTTGATTATTTGTGTTGAACGATCTCTCAAGGTAGGAGTAAGTTTTGCATACACGCTACCCTCCCTAGATCCCACTTGTAGGATTACACTGGGTATATTGTTGTTGTTGTTGTTGTAGATTGAACTATCTGCCAGAATATAGCTGATGCAGTATTGAGGTTTATTGCTTGAATTCATGTTATTTGGAAAGACTAATATGTTCTGAGATGCTATTTGACTTGCTTAGTTCTCTTGTTATTTCAAGCTCTGCATTTTCTGTAAGACATCCTGACCGGTGTTTCATTTGCAAACAATTGCTCTTGAATCTTGCATATTAAGAGGGAGATTAACACTTTTAACAGCATAGCAGAAGTTTCAAATGAAAAATGAGATTTTAAGCTGGAGGTCTTTCATTATACTATACTTTCTTGTCAAAGTGATGCACTTGTTTCTGGTTTAATGATATTGTGTAGTGCCTCTGCAACACTATAGGGGCTTTATTCCAGAAAATGCTAAACTTGTATGGGAATGAAGCTATACGTGAAGCTCGTAAAGAGTGGTAATCACTGTTTCATGAAGCTACAGAGTTATTCGGTGGCTGGCCTGCCATATTGTATGAAAGGAATAGCTTTTGATAAGAAAATTTGTGTTGAATTTGTATTGTGTTTTACTCTGAGTATCAGCATTGAAATAATCAGCACAAACACTTTTACATATATGAGCACCATGTTGTCAGCTAAGACATCGTCAAAGTATAATTTAATGTTTCCCTGGAAATTTTATTTCCATGATAACACTTTTTCTATGCATGCATTGTCGATAATAATTACCGTTTCTGTTTCAGGTTGATGACATTCCTGAGGGAATGCTGCCAGGCCCATTCACTCAGTCTAAGCAAGAAGTGACCAACTCATCTAGACCTTCTAGCTCATCCTTAACCAGTGAGGCACCTAATGGTGTGTTTCCTCTGCAGTCAATAGCTTCATCACACCTGTCTGTATCTTTCAAGAGGTGCTTTTCAAATCGAGCATCTATTACTGGAGGAACGGATGTCAAGGAAAGAGATAGAGTTGGGCTCGTCCCTGTTTCTCCAGCTTCAATACCCCTTGATGTCGCAAGTTCCACTAAGAAGAAAACAGTAGCATTTTCTGATGCTCCTAAGTTATCTCTAAAACAAACTAGTAGCATGAAATGCTCAGCTGGAGGGATTGTTTTGGCTAGTTCACCATGTCATCCACCTGCTCTTCCTATGATTGAAGCCAAAAAAGGAGAAGATGCTTCTATGTCTGCTCCAGCAACCCCTATGCTCGAACCTCCTAAGAGATGTTACATGAGTCCAGATGATCCAGCTGAATCACCAATAAAACTAGCTAGATGCCCGTCAACTAGAAGGTCATTGCTCTTTGGTGCTCCTGTGAAGAGTGCAAATACTGCTGATAAAGTCTGCAAGAATGGAAGGTTTTCAACTGATGATAATATTCTTGACATTCTTCCTGAGAATCTTCTGCAATCGGTAACATAAGATACACTTGCTTATCAATCTTCCTTTGATAAAATTTGTTTAGACCAACTACATTGGATTCATTTAAATTTTCATTCCTCAACGTAGTTAAACTACAAAATATTCTTCACTCGTGAATCATGAGATTATTGGGGGATTTGCTCAACCTTCTGTTTTCTGCAACAAGAAGCTAACTTCCATGATTTCACAGATAGGAGAAAAGGAGAGTGAAGCACTAGCAGAGCAAAATCCAGCCATATCCCAGGCAAAAAGGCGTAAACAGATGATTGCTTGTTTGCCTCACCTCTTTGACATGATCTATTTCCTGTTTCAATCTATTAAACGTTCTGTCATGACGAAAGAGGAGCTCATGCACAGAGTAATTTCAAGCCATTTAGAGATAACGGATAAAAGTAAGTCCGGTTGACAATTTTCAGAAGCCTGTAGTCCTTTTGAGATTCATTGGAGCTTCTTTCTGAATCTTGATGTTTCATTAATGCAGGTGAAGTTGAACAGCAACTCCTATTACTGCAAGAATTGGCTCCCGAATGGATTTATGAGAAACCAGCATCTAATGGAACTCTTCTCTTACTGTAAGCTACCATTCTTTGTTTGCTTTGTCCATAGCAATGATGAGTTTAGGAGATCTATGTTACCGATTTCTTGATCATTTTTCTTCGTTAGAGTAGATTAGAGTCTCACATTGGTTAGAGTAAGTTAGAGTCTCACATTGGTTAGAGTCTCACATTGGTCGGAAAATGAAGTGATAGTATCTTTGGACAATTCCCCTTGTGAGATTGTGTTTAAGGTTGGGTTAGGTCCCGGAGTCATATTTTCTCGTGATATTAGAGCCAAGGGTCATCCTCGTTTCAAACTCATATTATATTGCCCATGCCCCAGTTGGCGGCCTGAGCCCGACGGGGTCAATCGGGGTGTTGAGAGTTCCATATTGATTGGGAAATGAGCTAGTGCTAACTCTCTTCTCGTGAGCTAACTTTTGGGGTTAAGCTACATCTAACGTCTATAATATCTTTATTTTGCAGTGTTAACAAGAAATCAAATCCTGACACAATTCGTTCGAGACTAGCAGAAGCCAATTGAGAGAAACAAGAAACTAGTGATATGTACTTTATTTTACCAAAATATTAGTGTAAGGAATAACAATTTAGTCTAAGTTGTAAATAATAGTGTTTTGTTTAATTAATACAGTACCACTTATGTTGCATCAAATGGCCAGTATAGTTATGATAATTCATAGTCTCATTCTTAGTAATTAAATCTTTGCTTTTCTAAAAAAAAATACCATACATAATAACATAACACACCAATTTTTAAAATAATAGATGGTACAAACTCTCAAGTAACAATTTTTCATAAGAAAATATTATACATTCCAAAGTACAAAACAGTCTCTGTTTTCTCTTCTTTCATTCTCTATTGTTATGAGATACGACCAAATTAACGCTCTTCTCTCACAATATTCCAAAATAGTTGCAATGCTAACTCTATCATGTAGCAGAAACTACTTACCATTTCTTTCATCAAGAATGGTGGAGGGGGCGATGAAAGTCCGGGAATACAACTAGCCTGGTGTCAAGATAGATCAGGGAGAGTTAGAACGAGAGTTCATCGAGAGATTTAACAGGTACGCTCAACAACACAATAGTTGTGACATCCATAGTTACTTTGAGTCTCTTTTCATTGTCCTTCTGGTTTAAGTACAGCTTTTAACCTGAGGAATAGGAATACAGAACTTGAGAATCTATACGTAAAATGTTTCAATCCAGTACCCGATTGGAATGTAAAATGACGTTGTACATAACAAGGATAAATAGAACAGGATTCGTAAGACTAGAAATGAATTATGATAAAATTGCTCGAGTTAATTAACCTTATGAGTTTGGCAACAGTCGTCCATTATACATCTTGTCAAGTAACTTCCTTGCGTCTGGCCGCCTAAGAAGACCTTTATTATTAGGTAAACCAGTTCCTAAACATACAGGACATACTAGTTTCCCTCGTCCTGGTTATCCCATAAGAAAAAATGTCGTTATGTTAGTATTCAAGATAAGATAAAATGAATCATTCTGAAAGCAAAGATCGTAAAGCAAACGATTATCAAAGGGAAAGACTATTGATGGTATGTCTAGTTGGGGTATATCGAAATGAAAACGGAGCGGTTCTTGTTTAGTGACTCGATAAAGAAAACCCTACGTCTTATGCAATATTCAAATTTTGGTTTTGTGCCGGGACTATGATCTACATTTTGACTTCTCTTCTTCCTTAGAAGGACTCAAAGGTTCATTCCTTTTCACAATCCATGTCAGAAATTTTGCCTCAGGGAGTATGGATATCGAATCTAGTTTGAGTAAATGCTGCAACACAAGCTACTACTTTCATATTACGAACTAAGGAAATTATCGACTGATACCAACCACCGAAGCAATCACAGTATGATTTCAAGAGAGACAAAAATATGAGCTAATATTCCAATTTTAATATAAGACATGGACGACAAGAGCAAAGTTCCTAATGGATGTTTTAAGTATCCTTGAGAGAGACAGCCCCAAGTCATGCAGTTCGAGATGGATATCTAAGAATAGCATGGATATCTAAGAATAGCATGATAAATAGGATCAGCTTCAACACATAGAAGTTAGATATAATAACATACCATAACAATTGGGGCATTCAGTGAACTCATAAACGTCTTTAGCTCGTTTTCTGTTTAGAGCTTTCCATTTTCCTGTACCACCACACATATCACCTAAATAAAAAACAGACGACAGTCTTAAAGTAGATAGAGCACCAACATAAGTTATGCATACAATATTATAGTGCTTCATCTAAATTGGGATATAAAATTCTTTGATTTGTGTCCAGGATAGTAAAAATTAGCTACATTTTGTCCTTTGGTTACTTGGAAATGTATGACGAAAGATTCAACAGACATCAATAGTTCACAAATTATCTGCTTTACGATATTATGTGAGGAAGAGATCGAACAAAGACAAGTTCTGAACAGAATTGTAAAACAAGGTCCCACAGACAAAGATATCAAGCAGAAAAAAAAGATAACTGAGTAGCAAAAGGATTTAACTTTTATCAGAAAAGAGAACTTAAGTAGTCAAAGATCCCTTCAATTACTACATCGCGTCCTTTTAGAAGAGAAAAAGATAGAAGCACAAGAAACTTGTATGCGAACAATCATGAATAAAATCGCGTCAACATTGTATGTGAAGGAAACTAACTATAAGGAAATAATATTGATATTCTTATTCAGACTTCTCTCTCTTTTTGGTTTGTATTAGCTCAAGTTTTCACTTTCTAAACCTGTTCTTCGGCAAAGTTGCGAAAACATAGGTGAGTTGTTTTGATGCTCAATAATTCTCAAGTTTGTTAAGGTGTGTTGTTTTGATGCTCAACAATTCTCAAGTTTTCCTAGTTTAACTTCGAAAAAGAAAAGTTCGTTGAGGTTCTTGTTTCCATGTTTCAACACTTCAAAAGCAGAACTTTTTGGATAAAACATTAGAACCTTGAATTCTCAACGACACAATACTACTGACTCACAATAAAAACTTTCGGCAAGTCATTACATATTGAGTTGGATGTATTTACGTGTGTTAGTTTTGTTAACTATGTAGGTGCCTTTCTGTTACAATTCAAAGATTTAGCATATACTGGATCCTACAATTTTATAAGGGTACTGGATTTGGTTATACGGGTTTCAATTTCAATATGAAAATCTTTGAGAATTTGTTTATAGTCATGGAGAAGCATAAGAAAAGTTCTCTTAGAACATGTTGTTCCTAAATGTAATATGATTAGTGGGATGAAGCAAGTAAAGCAGGAAACAATATACACTTACAAATTATAGCGCCACTACCCCCACAATTCCGACAGCCAGGGCTTTCATTTCCATCTAAGGCAATTGCTTTTGGTTCAGAAATAGGATTTCCAGAAGCAGTTATCAGAGCTCCAGTTGAGCATAGGCAAGTCAGACACCATCTCCGTGAGACTGACGTTTGAGATCTCTGTTCCAAAAAGCAACAGCACTCGAATCAATATATATAATCTGATGATAGTTGTAGACAAAAATAGCACATTGTCAACTTTATTGTATATGATACATTACTATTTGGAGGGTCGAACAATGATTTTCCTCATTATAATTTCCTCAAACATTTTCAAAAAGACATTATTTTACAAAATAAAAACTAGAATTTCCAAAAATCATCAATTGACTCTACATAGAAAGGAGTGGAGGTTCCGTATTAAGGTAAAAGGTTAGTAGGGGTAGAGTGTTGTCTTGTCTTACAATGGCTTAGGCTTGTTAGTGCCTATCGTAGTACTAGTTATCCCCTTGTAGTTCTTGCCATATGTTGTTTATTGTCTTTCGAGTATCACACTATTTTGCTATTGTTATTGTTTCGAGTAGACTTTACAATGTTTTTCTTATCAACTGCTATGTTTTCTTCTTCTTTTACTTGGGTTTGATGCAATTGAGCCGAGGGTCTTTCGTAAACAGTCTCTCTACCTCCATGAGATAATCGTAAGGTCTTAGCGACACTCTACACTCCCCAGACCCCACTTAGTAGGATTTCACCAGGTAAGTTTGTTGTTGTTTAGCAATCCCATCAAGAAGCTGTAAGAAGTTACAAACCTTTTCCTCTACAGGTTCCTGTGAATGCTCGGAAGAATCAGAAGTACCACTCTCATTCTCCGAGCTGCAGCTCACATGAGATCCTCCCCTCTTCTTCAAATTCACTGCCATTTACCCAAAAAAAAAAAAAAAATTACTCCCAAGTACCAACATATTTTTCAGGCCAAAAATTTTCAAAAAGGTCTTCAAAATACTAACTTCCAACAAAATCCCAATCAGAAGGAACAATCAAGAATGATATCAACCAGTCCAAAAAACAAATAAATATATCTTAATTGCATTTCAACTATGTATCAACTTAAGCTGTTTAACTAACATGGTCTGTTGTGGAGTGGTATAAGGTTCAAATCCCAACAAAGCCCAAAAAAAAAAAAAAAAAAAAAGCACTAGGTGATTCTTTCCATCTGTTCTAAGCCAGCCTTGGTGGACAGAGTTATCTGTGAATTAGTCGAGGTGCGCGAAAGCTGGCCAGACACCATACAAACTTAAGTTCCACTTTGAGAGATTTCATTGTATACTGAAGTAGGGTCATGAAAAACTACAAAACTTGAACCAAAAACCAAACAAACAAATATTCCAAGAAGAGTACAATACAAAATGGCCTTAACCAATCTACCGAAAAATCCAGCTTTTAATCAACTTACACTGACGTAAAGAAGAACACTTGGAGTTCAATTATGAACCTCATAGAGCTGAAGGAGTGGGAAATGAGAGGTGGCAAGTCATCTCTCTCACTCTTTTTCCTCTCTTTCTATCTCACAACTTCTACATATACACTCCTCTATAACATTAAACAAAAAAAGTTGAGATTTTTAGGATAATAATTGAAATTTTGAACCTAAAAATATCAACAAGGGTCTTCAAAAATACCAATTTCATCAAAAAACAATAGCCATAACTAGAGCCCATAACCAACAACAACATACACGGTGTATTCCCACAATCGAGGTCTAGAGAGGATAGTGTGTACATTACCTTGTTGAGGTAGAAAAATTATTTTCGAAAGACCCTCAAGCTCAAATAAAGTAGTTTTAAAAATACAATAATAAGGAACATAACAGCATAAACAGCAAATAAACAAATGAGTATGTCCCAATTACTATCCCAATTGTGTGATATCAACTTAAACTGCTTCCACATTGAAAAAAAATCAAAAAGGTTTTGCCAAAAACATAAACTTTCAACAAAAATGACCTTAAACAAATCAAAAAAAAAACCCCACTTCAAGATTTTACCTTTTTGCAAAGTAGAATCAAGAAAACAATAAAAATCTGACCTAAATTTTTTTTAAAAAAATCAAGAAAATTAAACAAAAGATTGATGTATCAACTTACACTGACATAAAGAGGAAGATTTGGGGTTTAAGTATGAACCCCATAGAGCTGAAGGAGTGGAAAATGAGAGGTGGGAAGCCATCTCTCTCTCTCTCTTTTTTCTATTTTTTCTATCTCTCAACTTCTACATATAAAAAAGTTTAGATTTTTATTATGATATTTGAGATTTTGAAGCTAAAAAATATCAAATTTGAGTAAAAGAAAGCAAAGGGTGTTTTGGGTTTTATTTGGTTTTTTGTTTTTGATGAATGAAAAAGAGGGAATCAACATGGATAATAAATCTTAGCCTCTATTTTCTATATGAATATTCAAGTTATGCTTAATTCATTTTTACCCCTTAAAGTTTAGATAGATGACTTTTGCCTACCCTAGACTCTCAAAAACATTTCTCAAGCTAAAAAAGTATATCACACTTTCTTATTAATTTAACGTTTAACTTTTATTTTACATTTAATGAAATAATTTTCAATCTCACTAATATTTTTTGTCCAGAGGAGAAACCTATATTTGAAGTTGCTATTGAACTCGTAGTTTATTATAATTATTGAATTCGTAATTAAATATTTATACATATTTAATAGGTTTTTTAATATAAGTATATGATCTCATTTAGTTGAACTTGTATCTAGTACTAGTAGTTTCTCTATTTATAGTTTGTTTCGTAATATAAATTTGAATCTTTCGAAATTAAATGATGGTATTAAAATCTATTTTATCTATTTGATATTTCTCTTTTGGGAAAAATAATCAGTCAACTTAGAGAAAGTATTAATATGCTTGATTGGCCTATATATGACTTTTTAAGTGTTCCTTAACAATTATCCATAATATATTTAATAACAATCGTTGCTCTAGACAATCATAGTTTTACTTTTATTGTTATATTGTTATGACTATAATTCTATTTTAAGAAAACAATATATAATTATCCAACACTTCCCTATAAAAAAAATAATGAATTATATAGACAATCGACTTGTTAAAGATTATTAAACTGATAAATACAAGAGGTCAAGAAAGCTATTAGGCATGCTTAGGTTTTCATCTTCAACATTAGTCGATCTGGATGTCCACTTATTTTCACTCATGCTTCATTCTAATCACGAATAAATCACTCGAAGTTCAAGTCCAAAAGATGAGGCAGTTTGCCCTATGATAACTCGCTTTTGCTACGACTCTAGCAGATTTTCTTAACCAAGGCACAAGGAATCACCAGCTCATTCTTCAACAAACACCCAAGTCATTGCTTATGAGGCCGAATCACTTCTCAACAGGCACCCAATGCCTGAGAGCTTACGATTTCATGTTCTATTTCATTCCTCAGTCCCAAGAGGGGTTCTTTTCACCCTTTCCCTCACAATACTACTTCGCTATCGATCAAACACCCAAAGTCATTGCCTATGAATGACCGAATCATTTTACAGAAGGCACCCAATGCTTGAGCGCTTACGATTCCATGCTCTATTTCATTTATCATCCCCAAGGGGGGTTCACAATACTACTTCGCTATCGATCACCAGAGAATATTTAGCCTGGCAAAGTGGTCCTTACTGATTCATACTAGTCCAATTAATCAATAATTTCCATAGGCGCAAATTCCACTTTTTATAGGACCAAACTATCTTCACAGTATAACCCATCCTTGTTTTTTTTTTTTTTGATTTCCCATTCGGTGTCCGGTACCCACATTAAAGCCCGACTAAATCCGAATTCACGCCGGGAAGTCCCACAAGGGGACTCGAACCCATCCTTCTTGTTGACTAATGTATTTCGATAAACTGAAATCATCAACTAAAAGCAAATAAAAGACAACCCAATGTAGTCACATAGGTGGGATCTGAGAAGGATAGAATGTACGAAGACCTTACTTGACTTGTTAGGCAGACGGACGATTTCCAATAGAACCCTCAGCTATGAAGAATCAACTAAAGGCAAATAATACAAGATAATCGATAGATAAAGATAACATTAAAATTTTCCCCAGTATTTCGAGTACACGAAACAATTTTTGCAGTAAGAACAATTGTTTCAGTACTAGTAGGATAACAACATCATAAGCAGAAAGCTGTTACACAGAGCAGCTACAACATCCATAATTTTAAGACAACTAAAGTTTTCCTATGCATAACATTCTAAGACACAGCTAACTTTACCACCATCCATTTACACTTGGACAATGAAACAAAGACGACGAGAAGTTCGTAATATAAGATCAAAATGTCAGGTTACAACAATTTGGTCGCGATTTGTTTTAAGATACAGTGCGTCCATAGCATAGACAAGAAAGATACAGATTCTTTCCCCATTTTTCCTGCACAAAAAAACAAGGATAGAACACAAGTCAACAACTCGCTCAAATAATAAAATGATGTGGATACAATGTATTTGTCAAAATTATATATGTGTAAACTGCGAACTTGGCTAACTAATAAAACTTAATGGAAGCAAACTGCAAAAAAAAAAAAAAAAAACCTACTATATTAGGCGAAATGAACAGATTGGGACTTGGGGACCAAGACAGAAGTTGCTTCTGTCGCACTTAAACTAGGTTAAGGCACGGATGACAAAGAGATTGAGAGAACCTCTAGCTCTAGATAACCCTACCGTATAGTTGCTGAGTGAAGTTCTGAAAAATAAGTGGCTTTTACTTATTTTCTTGTGCTTATTGGCAAGTACGCCTAAATATTGTCTCAAAGGCATTATATATATAATCTAGGCAAACACCTTGTGGAATGGAAGTGGGCAAGGGTGGTGGCGATGGGGCTATTGGAATTTGAGGGGTGAGGGGTGGGGAGGAGAAAATAAGTTTGGAGTGTCAATTATGGAACTCATTTTCCCAACTCTCACTAGGGAAGTCATTTTCGTCAAACTATAAAGGAACTTCTTTTCCTAAAGAATATTTTCAAAAACCTTTAACTTACCACGTTCCAAACATAAGAAAATGTCATTTTCTGGAAAATTAAAAAATACTACATGTTATTGTGTGATATGGATGAAACTTCAAGAGAAATTACCAAATATACGAATCTGCAAATATAGCATTACCCAATGAGTAATACGTACTCTTTTCTTAATTAGTTCATCAGCGATTTTTTTTTCTTTTTTGATGACAAGGGAAACCCGTAGTCGCTACCCTTTGGGTGCGCACAGGGTAAAACCCCCGCGCTCCTATGCAATAGCTCGCAAACCACACAACAATTAGGCAAAGTAGAGATAACAATTTCACAAACAATACCTTGACATGTGTGCTGGGAAACTGAGATGTTCGCAGAGTTTCTTGAGTCTCATCACCAGGTCTTCGGCGAGGTACACTCAGGATAAGAGCAGCTTGGTCTGGTGTAGCAGCTGTTGCCGTAATACGATAACCATTATCCCACCGCTTATGAATACCCTCACTAGGATAAAGGAAATCAAGCTCTACCACCTATTAAACATTAAAAATCTGCATGTTAACAGATGATCAAAGCTTTCTATAAATAGTCTTCGCATTTACATTCAAGTCAAGGGAGCATGATAGTTACTGTTGCTCATTAACAGCTTAGATTTGACCTTCATCAGGTTCTTTAGATTCTATGAGTTGCGACTCCCAAGAGTAACTCGGAAGTCATATTCAAATAAAAATTATCTTCACTTTGTACTGTGCACCACCTTTTCCTTCTCTTTTCTTTTGAATAATATTTCACTTGTCAAAATATATTTTTGCAACAGAAATATATTTAATCAACTTCTAAATATTCTCTCCAAAAAGTAGACAAGATGAAAAGCTGCTCACCACCAACAGTGAAACTACCGAGATGAGTATCCCTTTGTGTAAACTGTATAGCAATTCAGTGTGTCCTATTTACACATGTCATGCAACATGTCTATGTTCATAAACATAAAGCATTTAAGCAGACAGCAATAGAAATGATAAACTCGTAAGTGCATAGTTGATATCAAGATTAACCAATACATCAACGAAAATGTATGCTGCCCAGCTTCTCTGTAAGTGACTCAACTTATATATTCATTTTTTTATAACCAAGAACTCCCTGAGGTCAGCGGCATAAAATTCTGAACTCCGAGCATAATTGACCCACCTGTCTACTCTTCTCCGCTTAATTACCAAGCTTTTGTCTGTAGAATGGTTCGAACACGTGTGTGCCTGTCCCACACGTCATGGGATACACTCTTACCACTAAACCAAAGCCCTGGGGGCAGTTAAATCTTCAAATATCAAGGAATGAAACACTAGAACTTCTGTTACTTGATTTCCATGTGAACACTTGGTTCATAACACATAACAAAGGAGCAAGCTTAATCCAACAAAATCTGCAAGGTGCAATACAAACGGACTATTTCTATTTTTTGGACAAGGATAAAGAGGAGAGTCTGTTAAACAGCCATGAGACCATCTAAGACCTGAGAGGAGGTCTAAGAACGATCATCTACTACTGCCCCACACAACTAGGAGCCATGGAAGGAGGCTGTGAATCACACTCTAGTCACATGACCATGCTTCATCAATCAGATTGGTGTCCTACTTTCATGTTTCCTCAGAACTCAAGGATATAGTAGTATGAGCCAATAGAACAGATGCTGTTCAGGTAAGGCCGTAACATAAACAAACTACATAATTTCAAGAAAAATAGAGTAATAGACTTTCTTTTAGTAAGTAAAAGAAATTATAAACAAGTGTGACAAAACGAGGTATGGACTTTTTAAGTAAATTTTAGGACGAAAGGTCATTAAACCAAGCTACTTCATTTCCTTACAGAAAAATCTTACTGTGACTACCCTTTTAGATCCTTAAGCCTACGCTCATGGGGAAATTTATCCGATAATTTTTCCAGGTGATCATCACAAAGGGAGGAGGGGGGCAGAAGGAAACGGGATACCGTATTAACACTAACACCAGATTAAATATTGTATGAGAGTGTTAAAGAGGGGGACAAACAACCTGGTCACTGAAGCCTGAATTGCGTGACATAACAACAGCCCACCTAGTGTTAGCCGTTGCCATGGAGGTCACATGGAACCCTTCTTTCCATTTCTTGCTTATCCACTTGAAGGGAAATGACTCACTGACTTTATAAGACTGTTGAGTGAACTGTGTGCCTGCGAAAAATGACACAAGTATTACATACAAAAATAAAGAT